TGGGTTGTTTCCCTCACCCCTATCAGCATCACCTCTCTTATCTGGAGTGAGCACAAGGCATTTTGCTCCATGCACCCCGAGCCTGCCTGGAGAGCGAGCAAATCCACATCCAGAGTAGAGGGGTAGCAGCTCTGAGAGCACCTCCCTATCTCCAGAGCCCTCCCAGGGCAAACCTGCCCAAACAGGGCAAAAGGGGATGGGGTGCACAAGAACAAAGCCAGCCCCCAACATCCCTGGCAGGACCCAACACATCTGCCTCTCTGGGGCCTGCCAGCAAACTGAGAAAACCTGGGATGCAAGGCTTGTGATGGTGATCTGGCTGATGGCCACTTAAAGCTGAGCACTGTGAAGCTGCACACATCCATCCCGTGTCGTCTCAGCTCTTTCCTCACTGCTGTTCCTTCAGGAGCTTTGCTGAGAAATAAGAAATAAGCACTGCTCATGCTTTTGCCTTCAGCCATACACTGGCCTCTGCCCCAGGTGCTGTTGTAAGCCCTGCCCTGTTCCCTGAAATCTCCCATTCCTCAAGTTACACATCTCCCTTTTGTTGTTTCTGCAGAAGCAATTCCTTCATCAGGAGTTAAATAGGGCCAAAAAAAAAACCAACCAAAAACCACTAAAATACCTAGGGAAAAAAAAAGGACAAATCCAAACCATGCAATTTTGGAGTTTCCTGAATGAATGAAACATAGCAAACATTTTAAACTGTACCCAAAAATGTATGGAGGAAATCATACATATCTACATTTCTTGAAAGAAACTGGTTTGAAAATGCCACAGCATTCTATTTCACTGCCTCTTAAACACAACCCTCTGATTTGCTATTTTAAAGTGGCATTTTCCACTCAAAAGAGACATGAAATCAAAGAAAGTGTGAGAAACAAGATGGGCAACTAACCTCAAAACAAAATGTTACGTTCAAAATGCAATTTGGGCTGACCCAAAATAACACATTGGGTTTTATTTCCCATTTCCCCCAAGCAAAAAAAAATAGAAAGGAAAAAATTACCATTTCTTTTGCTTTGATGCAATCTAGTTCTTTTACTCTCCATTTTCCAGCTCAGCCCCTGAACTGAGGCAGCTATTTTTCCCCCAGGTCTTTCAGAGGTTTTATTCTCTCCTTTGTGCCTTCCTGACATGCAGACATGGAGTGAGCAACAAACCTTTGCTCCTTTGGGCCAAACTGAGCCCTCAAGTACCCCATTTTACTCCATCCTTAACTTCTACATAAGAAGTGAGTCAATATTATCCAGGCCACCTGACTTCAGAATTTCAAGAGCTTCTAAAATGCTCAATGCAGATTCTGTCTTCACACAAGTGTGTGAAGCAGGTAGGGTAAGGGCAATCTGTTCATATTTAATCTTTCCACCTTTGTCACATTTACCGTGTGGCTTTGGCGAGTTGATTTGCTCCCATGGCTCAGTTTACCTAATTCCAGAGCAGAAATGAGCTTTATCAGCACAACAAGCTGCTGTGCCTACTCATGGGTGAACTTTCCTGAAAACATCACATTAACCACTGCACAGGTGTGCAGCAAAGTTTCTTTCCCTCTACTTCACCATCTACAGAACTCCAAAAGGATTTCATGGTCTAAACCTGCCCAACCATGTGTCTCTTTTGTGATGTCACTCTGCTTGCAAGGGCAGCCAAGCTTTGAGAAAAACAGCTTCTTCCCTCCCGCCTTTCCCCTTTTCATTTTTGGGGTTTTTTTGCATCTTCCTCCGTGGGTTTCCGGCAGTTCCTTCCAGCCCCACAACAGACAGCTGTGCTCACTGTACCTGTGTGTGTGTGTCTGACTTTTCACCCCCCAGGAGATTTGTCTACAAGATAAGCACCAGCTCGCGGAAATCCTGTGTCACCGACCTTACGGCAGCTTCTCGTAGCGGGGATCCCAGTGACATTTTGTCCTTCTGGAAGTCTTCCTGACAGACACATCCATGTGTTTTTTGCACCCCTTGAAAATCTGAAGTAAAGATTTGGGTGCTTTACATCATTTCCACCAACACTGGAGGCTTCACCACTGCTCTGTGGTTTTGCTGTGGCCAAACTTACTTTCATTTTCACATGGTGGAAGGGAATGTGGTGTCTGGGTTCTGGCCAGGGAATCCTGGACTGAGCTTCTGCATGATGTACCCTAAAGTCACTGCACACACAAGAATGATCCCTCTGGGTGGGATTGACAGGAAACTTATCCCTTGAGATCTGGGAGAGCAGGGCAATCAATGCACTGAAGTTACAAAGCTCTTAGCTGGGTGGTGACTGAAGAGAGAAAGGAGCAGTGAAGGGAGGACAAGTTGGGGAGGGTGATGAGGTGGGTGAGGCACAAGACTCCTGCATGGGAGACTCCTGTCTTCTCAATGTGGAAGAAGAGCAGATCACTGCAGATGAAGAAGGCCTTGATGGGAGAAAAATCATACCCAGGGAAAAAAAATGGGACAAAACAATATCCCAAAGATGCTTGTTAGGACTTCAGAATGGAGCTGGGCCTTGGACATCTGGTTGTCCTGAGTTAGAAAGAAGTGGGGTGCAGAGTCCCTGTGGTTTTAGAGGAGTTCATGGGCACCTAAGAGCAGGCAGCCCCATTTTAGCCTTTCCCCAGGAGCCACCTTAGTGCCTGGAATTGCAGCCTTCTCCTCAACATCACAGTCAAAAATCCCAAGACTGACTACTAAATATCGATAATGAAGACACACACATACACATAAGAAGACAAAGCCAGGCTCTCCTTTTCCTGAAGCTGGCACTGCATATGAGACAAAGATTTTTCCAACTCCACTCCAACTGAACAGGTATACATGTGTATTTCTTTTCCTAGTTTAGAAAAGCAAAAATTATTTCTTTGGCTTTTGTTTCAAAAATCACTATGCTGTGGCATTTTTCAGCAAAATGTTTCAATTAGGGTTTTATTGTTCTTTCCTTAATTTTTTTTTTCAAGTAAGATGGATTTAGTATCTTGTTCCAGAGACTCAGCAAGAGAGTAAATCAGAATTTCTAGGAAACTGGGAAGTCTCAAGTGAAATACCTGAGTACAAAGCAAAGATGTAAGATTGGGGACATGGAAGTAAAAACATTTCCTTTGGGAGGAGAAGCTCTTGTATTCATGGCTTCCAGTTTAAACAGAAATGTCTTTCCTCAGCAATTTTGCATTACTGGCAACCTGGGAGATGGAGCACAGCTGAAAGTGGGAAATCCCTAGGACTCGATGACAATATTAAGGAATTCCAGAAATCCTCCTACAGGAAACAAAAGTCAAAAAATGAAAAGGAAAGAGGCCAACAACATCTTTCAGTTAAAAACTCTCTGTAAGCCATTGTTTTACAGACAAAAAGGTCAAGGGAAACAGTGTCTTCTGGTGGCATATATTCCCATATTTCTTCTTCCTTGTGAGCTTGGCTAGGACATTTGTGTTGAGCCCAGTACCTCCAAAGGAGGCTGAGTAACATTTACTGCAATGTCTAGACACGGGAGAGCCTTGCCCTCCCAAGTTAGCCCAGGATACTCTCCAACCACGGCACTCCAGGAGCAGGATTGCCAATATCTGATTCTTGAAAGAGATTGTAAAAAAATTCTTTCCCCTGAAGAGTTGCGAGTGAAACTGATGTTGAATAGAAGCAGAAGGTTGAAGTTTGGGGGTTCCCTCTGTATACCCACAGGCTAATGAAGCTGATGGCTCTCTGAAGCAGCTCTTTGGTTCCTGGGAGCCATGGATATGGAGAAAGAATTTGGCATGAAACCCATGAACCCCAAAAGGAGGTCTCTGTTTCTGCAGGGGTGCACAGCCTGTGGCAAGGTTTCCATAGCTGCAGGGAACGAAGTAAAAGACCAGCTGCTGCTCTCACTGTGGTATATATGTCCAAAATAAAGGTGCAGTGGTCTTACTCCTGGTGTATACCACCATACTAGAGAAGAAAAAATTTTCTCCAATAACCTTAATTATCTGGAGCTAATCAGATCATTCTTTTCTCAAGGCATGACCAGCCCTTCTCAGCCTGCCAACCACTAAGCAAAATTTTCATGCCACGAGGAGCCACCAGATCCTGATCCCTGATCCTGAATAACACGTGGAGGAGGAGCTGGGAGGCAGAAAGTGAGAGCTGCCCATCCCCGGATTCTGCATCTCCCGGGGTCACACTGGGTGTTGGACCACAGGGGTTCCTGCACAGGCTCACATCCACCAGGCCACCCCGGATCCAACGCTGGGCTTGCTTTTCACAGCCACACACATCGTCAAACGTCTCTAATTCAGTGGGAATTAGAGGCTTTAGGATCTGACTTCCATGATTCAGAAGCTGACAATTTTGCGGGACGTGGGTGCGCTTCCCTCACGTGGGACATCTGAAAGGCCAAGGCTTGCTCATCTTCAAAATTACATGTAGGGTTTGGATATCTTTCATGTTGCAGTGCAATTTCCAGGATGAATGCCTGTGCTGCACCCCTTTATGGTAAGTGTGTTTTAATTTAGGCCTCTGTGATGTAAGACCCTGGAAAGTGCATTTAAAATTGAAAAGGCAGCTGGTCCTCAACACTAAAGGCACAAAGACGATACCACAAAACATCTTCTGAAGGGTGTGCCTTCTTCAAACACACCTTCATTAGAAAGATTAAAATTCAGGAGAGAGACAGCACATGTCTTACAGTCATTATTAAAAAACAAAACCAAAAAAGTCAGTGGAAGCATTATAACTACAAATCTAAGTTTAGTTCTTTATCCAAGTTGCATGTTGGCACAAGTGCAAAGGAAAGAGCTCTTGTTTAGGCAGCAAGTATTTGTAGGTGAAAACACTACTTTAAAGGATGAAAAACGTGTTTCATCTGTAGAGAGTTATTTTTGAACTTGGAAATCAGGGTATAAAGGATTTTCCTAGGGCGGAAATGCACTTTTACTCAGGCCACACAAGGCAAACGACTACAACCATGTTCTGTTTGATGGGGCACCTTCACAGCAGCATTTCATTTGAAGCATTTAACTTTGCTCCAAAATTCTTCTAAGTTTGGACTAATTCTGGTATGTCTCACAAATATGTTAACATTTATTTCGGTCCTTTCCAACAGTAAATTACAGAGGAATGGAGGGTCTCAAGTGATTTATGCACCACTTACAGCCAAGCAACTAGACACAAACAAGCAAGCACAGGGAATTAAACTCAAGTGGATGTTGTCTTCCTGTCTTAAATGATCCCAAATGTTCCTGAGTTTGAGTCCTCTTCCAAACACCATCTTCTTGGGCTGTAGTTCCTTCTGCTGTAATGGAAGACCAACATTCTCCTCCACCCCTACAAGTGACTGTGAAGGATACAAATGAAAATTGACATATAAGATGAGGCATGATTACACAGATATTCTAACTAAATGAAAAGTCACAATATATAATTTATTATATTTTTAATTTTTTTTTCAAGATCTCACGTTTCTCAGTGATTGTCTCCACCTCAATACTTGAAAAATAAATATAAGAAAATACTGTATAATGGAGTGCCATTGTTAAAAAGTCAAAGCCCCTTTTGGGGTAGTTGTGTGCATCAAGGTTTCTGTAGAGTTTCCGCAGCTTCCTGCAATAGAAGACATTATGATCAAAGAAAGCTCTGGCTGTGATTTTGGTGGCAGCTAAATGGTAGTGACACAAAGTCCTTACTGCTGCTTGCATTCCTTACAAAGCACAAGGCAACAGCCTCTGGTGACCTTTCTCAAAAGGTGCCTTGCCCATCCTGGTACTAGGGTAAGTCCATCTGCAGAGGGGAAAGAACTGACCTTGCCACAGGAAGGTGGAAATCATCTCTGCTTTCTGCCCTCTCAGGATTTTATAGACAGCCATCCCTGTTTCTGTCAAGAAAAAAAAAAGGCTTGACCTGCTTTGCCTGCAAGCCACAGAGAGCCCAAAATTTAGACTGCCATCTCACAAGATTTTGATCAAGTCTCGTGGGAGAGCTTTCACATATGTTACTTTCTTAGACTGAAAAACATCAAATTGAAGACCCAACTTTAGAGCTGAGTAGGAACCAATTTATAGGAAGTGTTTCAATGTCACAGCTATCCAGAGCATTTTGTGTGGTAACAAATTAAATACTGGTACTGGTAATGTCTCTAGCACAAAGAGAAGCAGTTATGTGCAAGGAATTGCATCCAGACCATGTGGTTATAGAGCAGTTCTTTCACCCCTCTATGAGTTTTGGACCACAACTCCAGTAGTATGGAAGGAACAGATCAGGTGAGGGAGAAGAAGCAGAATGTAAAAAATAAAGGAAGAGCCCAAACTCTGTGATTTATTTGATGAAGACAAAACTGATGGTGTTAAAAAAATACCATCATTCACCAAAATGTCATCTTCATAAGCTCTTTAGCTCTCTGTTAGTTTTTTTGGGTTCTTTTGGTTTTGTGGGGTTTTTTTTGGTTTTTTTTTCTGTTTGTTTGTTTGGTTTTTTTTGTTTTGTTTTTTGGTTGTGGGTTTTTTTTTTTTTTTTT